GCTATTTTGAAGTTGTCGTCCTCGCAGGTGTAAGCTGCGTATACGTTGCCCCTGAGAGTTAGAACCCCCTTCTCAGTAGGCATCTTGAGCACCAAATACCTGTAGTGAGGTATGGCCATGAACTTGGTGAGCGCTGGTTGGCCAAGGATAGCATGGTAGGTGCCTTCAAAGTCAGCGACCACGAAGTTGATGTAGTCGGTGCGGAAGTGGTCTGGGGTACTAAATTGCACAGGTAGCGTGATCTGCTCGAGAGGTGTGGAGCTCTGTCCGAGAAGAACACCCCAGAACTATGCCTCGTATGGCTTAAGATCAGCCTGGGTTATCTTCAAAGCTGGCAAACTGTTCTTGAACAATATATCGATGGACCTACCACCGTCAATCAGCACTCTATCGAACTGAACCTTGTTGATACAAGGATCGAGAACCCGAGGAAAACGCCCTGGCTTAGGTATTGCAGCCCATTGGTCCTTTTCGCTGAAGGAGGTCTCGTGGTGAGACCAAGGAGGGAGCCGCGGATCGACGATGAGGTTGTCGGCATTGGCCACGTTCAAGCAAGCGTGGGCGAGCAGCTTGCGCTCTCGTTTGGTCTCGATGGACACTTTGCCCCCAATGATGGTGTGGACATGGTCGGTTGGCCTGACGTGCTTGTGACGGGGATCTGTGTCTTCATCATCATTGTCCTCGCTACGCTGCTCCCCTACGTCGTTAGGCTTGTCGGATTTATCCGGAGCCTGTTGGCGCGAGTAGATGGATTTGAGAGCACGACAATTCTCCATGGTATGGTTTGACTTGGGATGGAGCTAGCAGGGTCCTTTCAGTGCTTTGGCGTAGTCTTCTTCGTAGTTGCGATGTCCGCCACCTTTTTTAACGATGTTGACTTCGCCGTCATCTTCCTGAGCACGCTTGCCCCTGTAATCGTCACGGCGATTACGCCGCTGATTACGCTGGTCGTGGTGGTCGCAAAAATCATTGCGCTGGTTGCGCCGATAAAAATTGTCGTTCCGACCATGGTTGCCGCGGTAGTCGTCGCGGTGTGGGGGGTGGTCGGAGCGTGGAACCCTTGCTGCTTCTTCGATGATTATCTTTTTAGCATCATCAGCGTCCGCATATTTTTTTAGCAGTAGCTAGGAGCGTTGTGACTGATTCAGGTCTTTTACGGAGGAGTTTATCCCTTAGGGCACCGTGGAAGCGGAGACCAGTGATGAAAGCTTCAATTGCCTCGTTGTCAGAGATTGATGGGACCTTGATCCGCATCTCCGAGAAGCGTCGGACGTACTCGCGCAGTGGCTCATCTTTATGATCTCGAATCCGCTGCAGATCATATTTGTTGCCGGGTTGTTCGCAAGTAGCAATGAAGTTGTCGATGAATGCTTGCTTGAGCTCTTGCCAAGAATCAAAGTAGTTTGCTGGCAAGCTGACTAGCCATTGGTGGCCCGCATGGCCGATGACTAGGAAGTAATTAGACATGACGTGCTCGTCAGCCATGGCTGATTTGCACGTGGTTTCATAGAGCATGACCCATAACTCTGGGTTCTCCTTGTCGTCGTACTTCTAGAGTTTTTTGAGCTTGAAGTTTTTTGGCCACACGACTTGGCGAAGGTGAGGAGTAAACTGCTTCAAACTCGGAGGGCCGTGGGTAGTATCATATTCCATACAGCGATAGCTTTCGTGGGATGCACGATCGTTGGCTCTTTGGTTAATGCGATCGCGCAGATCACGTTCTCTGAGGGAATGGCAGCGATCGTTATTGCCACCACGGCGATCCCGATTGCCACCCTGGTTGACCCCGCGACCGCGGTTATCACGGCGATTGTCGTGGTTGTCTCGTCAATTATCGTCCTGGTTGTTGCGGCGGTTGTCGTCCCGGTAGTCGTAGCGGTTGTCGTCCCGACCACCGTCATGACCACAGTTTCTGCCTTGACGGTTGTCCGGTGGGTCATTGTTGTGCGAGCCACGTTGGTTGGGTGGCTGTGGGTGACTTGAGTACTGATGACTGTGGCTTGATTCGACTGAGACGGACGGAGCCTGGGCTTGGTTTGCAATCTCTGCGGTCTGGGCCATGGCAGCCGTCAGGTAGGCTTGCATATCATCACGAATTGCCTAGATTTCCAGGATATTGGATAGTCGTTGCATTGTCGCCATAGCAACAGCTACGTTGGCGCTTGGAGTCCTGAAAACCTGCTTCTCCCCTACCCTATCAAAGGCATTGTTGAGATCGTGTGACTAGAGCCTTATGCCGGCTTCGGCTTGTCTGCGATTAAGCCGGTCAATATTGCGTGCTTCGCGTGCTAACCTTTCTTGTTCTGTTTCGCCAACTGCCGGGGGTTCGTCATTACTGACGACATTGATCAAGCCTCCTCGCCTTGGTGGGAAGGATGGGAATCGTGGGAACCCCGGAGGGTGGTCTGGGATATCCAGATCATATTCAACTTCTTCATCGTCACAAAGCTGAAGCTAAGTGTGGATGGAGCCATTAGATGCGGTGCTGGATGGGGAGCTTGAGCCGCCCTCTTGAACTGTGTGGACCGATCCTTCTTGATACTCCTCAATCCGAACCATGTTGACGAAGTTGCGTGGCTTTGGCCGAGGTCGATGTATAAAACATAGATCTGAGCAGTGTTGTATATTGTACGTGTAGTTGGAAGCAGTGTTTCGTAGGCTGTAGGGCTGGGCCTGGTAATTCTCCATCAAGGCTTCGCACTCGGAGGGCCGGAGACCCATTGCGGGGGCTGGTCGGCGACGAACGGAGCGCCCTTCAAGAGTAGACGTGACCACGAGATCCGTACCGAGTCGTGCAGGATGACTGGCCCGAGCTGGTCGGGTAGATCTATTGTGGGTAGTGGTTGCCTGCTTGGTAGGTTGATTTTGAATCGAATCTACCAGAGCTAGGGTTTCAGCAAGCTTGGTGCCGACCCGATCGATGGAGTCGAGCAGGTCGGTGTTGTTGATCTGCCTCCCTTTGTAGTGAGGAAGCGAACGACGGGTTGTCGGCGTGGCTGAAGACGATGCTGGTGTGGCCGGAGCCGGATCCAACGTGGTCGGAGCCGTAGCCGATGCTGGTGAAGCAGTGGTCGATGCAGATTGGATCTGCGCCTCCTCCGTGGTCATGGCGATGAAGTTGTCGGAGCCAGTGGTCCAGGTGATCTGGCCGATGGTGAACGTGAGGCCGTTCGGCGTAGCCATAGAACCGGGGATGATGACCATCTTGTTAAATGCGGGAGCAAGACGCACACCCCCCTACTGGCGCACATCGTCGACAAAATATGGTCGGCGGTCTACCTAGGTATGCCCAAGGTAGTAGATTATCGGCAGACAAAAGCGCAAGCTACTGAGCGAGATGGTGACGCAAGATGCAGACACGAGGTTTTATCTGTGTTCGGCCGCCGTGAGGGCGTAATACCTACGTCCTGCGTCTGATTGTATTGCTGTATGTTAATGAGATTGTGATGTTTTGAGAGGGGTCCCCTTCCCGCCTTATATAGTCTGGAGAGCAGGGTCACATATTTAGAAACTAATCCTAACCGGTTACAATTGCCATAGGTGGCCGGATAAGGATTCCTATTCTAACTGATCAGGATCTTGCTTGATCTCCAAGTCTGCCTTGATTCCTTGCGCGGGACTCCGAGCAGATCGGCTGGGCCACGCGTCGTCTTCTGGTGGGCCGGACCCCTTGGTCCGGGACGGCCCAAACATAGCCGTAAGGGTATAGGGGTTAATACCCCCACATCTACCTATACATTTCCACTAAATGCTTCTGTTCACTAATTTATTTTGAGGGAAGAAAATGCATACTTTCTCGGTCTCAAAATAAATGCTCCTCTCGTTTCTCGAGGAGTAAACTCTTTTAAGTTTGACCAATGAGACCAGTGATATATAAAAAAGTACTCATGTTTATGACGTGTAATAAATATTGTTAGATTGATAACGAAATTAAATTTATTTAGAGGCACAAATATTAATATTATATTATTCATACTTGATTAAACTTTAAAAGATTTTACTCCTCGTGAAGTAAGATGTGAACTTGTTTTGGGACGGAACGAGTAAGAAAGAGCTAGCGGCGGCCCTGTTGTGCCAATCCACGATGTTTAGGTTTTGAGCCTGTTTGCCAGACTAAAGTTAGTCCGTCGTAAACATAGACTAATTAAAATTTTCTTTTTCTATTGAGTTCTACTTATCAATTAACCTCTCTTAGTTTTTGTTAGACCATAATTAGTTAATGTTTATCATTTAAAACATGGACTAAAGTTTAGTTTAGTTCATCTTTTATCGCACACTCCCACGAGCGTGACAAGAGAACGCCTTGCCAGCCCCCGCCGTTAGCGTGGCAGCAGCGGTCAGCACCATATATATTTGCCCTCCTTTCATGAACGGCCCCGGCCCGGCCCGGTCCAATACGTGACTGGGCTAGACCCCTGCTATCCACGGTTCACGTGAAACCGAGCCCAATCTGACTCCTCAGTCCTGACCTGACACCAAAATTACTGCGAATTAATTGCATGTCCACATGCCCCATCCAACACGATACACGACGACGTGGCCGTCACATCCATCTCCCGAGGAAAGCACCCCGTTTCCCACTGCCACGAGCTGCAAACCTGCAAAAGCCCATGTCGTCGTCAGGCCCGAGGCGAAGGGGAGGTCCAGTTTAGTTTCAAAAAATTTTATAAAATTTTTATAACGAATCTTTATCGCTCGCGCACTCCAGAGTGCAGATTTAATCTTTTAAACCTAATTAAACTATGATTAAATACTATTTATCAAATAACAACGAAAACACTACCGAACTCATTTTGCAAAATTTTTTACATCTAACCAAGCCCGGAGCCCAACGAGCTCGCTCGCGCACTCCAGAGTGCAGGGGGAGTGCAGCCAGTCCAGTCCACTGCTCCCACTCCCACCTGTCGCCGTCGCCACTGCTATCGTCCAGCTCCCCGAAACCCGCAAAAAACAACTACCACCTCCCCACTACGCGCGGCGCGCGCGCTCGCCTCCCGAGGATGGTCGCCTCCGGCCGCAAGCGCTCCCGCCGCGCGCCCATTGCCGCGCCATCGTCTCCACCGCCTCCGCCGCCGCCGGCTCCGCAGTCGCCGCCGCAGCTGACGTCGCTGCTGGCGCTGCTCGCCTCGTCCGTCACCCTGGCACTGCGGTTTGCGTCCGACCGCGACCTCCTGCTCCGCCCGTCCCAGACGCTGGCGCTGGACCCGCTCCTCCTCTCCGCGGCGCGCGCCGTGTCCCGCCTCCTGGCGCAGCTCCCGCTCCACCTCCAGACGCTCACGCTCACATCCCTCTCGCTGTCCCCGCCCACGCCGTCGCCGCCGCTGCCCTCCTCCTGGTTCCTCCGCCTCCTCTCCTCCCCTTCCCTCCCGGACTCCGCCTGGCGCGACGCGTTCCGCATGTCCAAGCCCGCTTTCTTCCAGCTCCTCCACGCCCTCGCGCTCCCGGCGTCCGCCGCCTCGTCCTCGTCCCTCGCGCTGCCGCCCGACCACAAGCTCGGCGCCGCGCTGTTCCGCCTCGCCCACGCCGCCCCCGCGCTCGTCGTGGCGCGCCGCTTCGGCCTTCCGTCCCCCGCCGTCGCCGCGCGCGCCTTCTACGAGGTCTGCCGCGCGATCGCCGAGCGCCTCGCCGTGCTGCTCGACCTCGCTGCGCCCGACCGGATCGCGCGCGCCGTGCCGGGGTTCTGCGCACTCTCGCTGCCCAACTGCTGCGGCGCGCTCGGGTACGCGCGGTTCGGGGAGGTGGCCATCGCGCAGGCGCTGGTCGACGCCGAGGGCCGCTTCCTCGACGTCTCCGTCGGGTGGGACCCGGAGATGGCGCCGGTGGAGATCCTCCCGCGGACGAAGCTGTACACCTCCCAGTCCATGGTGCTCGCCAATGCGCCTCAGGGCGAGCTCATCGGTGGCTCGGTGCCGCGCTACTTCTTGGGGCCTGCTTGCTGCCCGCTGCTCCCCTGGCTTGTGACACCGTACAAGCATGTGGTGGATGCCACTGATGACTTATCCAAAGAGAGCATCTTCAACCACGTGCACGCGCACGGGCAGCAGGTGGTGAAGAATGCCTTTGGCCGTGCGCGGGCACGGTGGCGGCTTCTGGAGGAATGCTGGAAGGGCGAGTGCCAAGAGGCACTGCCGTATGTTGTGGTTGCTGGTTGTCTGCTCCACAATTTTCTCCTCCAATGTGGCGAGCCGATGACTGCAGAGATTCAACGGAATGCTGATGCTGATGCGTTTGTGGACTTTGAGGGTGAGAAGGATAAGGAGGGGGAGAGAATCAGGGATGTTCTTGCTGCACATTTGAGCTTGGTAAGCCGAAATCAGTGAAGAGTGTATATAGGAGTCTGTAGTCAGTCCCCAGCATCTGGAATGCTGATGTCTGTATGTATGTATCTTATGCCATCTTCAGCTGCTTTAATCTAATGCTCTACTGTTCTCAGTTCACTAGCCAACTGCTAACTTTCTGTGTGGCACTAAAAATTGGTGACATGCCTGATGTTGGTAGTCTCATTCTCATACAGCTTCATCTTCTGGTTCTGGAAGTTATTCATCGTTCCTTAAATAACCATAACTTATACTACCTTCACTAACACTTTATTCTGATTAGCAAGATATACATTTGATTTCAGCATATGGTATCAGCTGTTTTAGTCATTCCTGCACAGAGATCGGCCGACACTCTTGTTGAGAATATATTCCATGTGCCTTTGCGACACCTTTCCATTTAAAGAGTGGATTTGGCGCCCAGCGCCCTTCTTATCTGGACAGTTGCATATGGTCGACATCTATCGTTTTAATGGAAGTTGGGTTCACGGCGCTAGGGTGAAAATTTATTTACTTCACAACTGTTACAATTTTGCACCGCCCAGTAGATGTGTTTCATGATGGAATGGGAAGGAGCTTGCATCTTATTTAGGCAGAAACTTGCATATCATAGCAGATTCTTCAAACATTCACCCACTTAGTTTGAGTTCATTTGCAAAACTAATGCATCATTCCAATTTATAGGAGACTGAATTTTAATCAGAAAAGAAAACAGAATACAGACTTTGTGCGGAACTGAAAAATTATGCTAGAATGGCATGGAGTCCTCGCTAGACAGGTTGTTCTGCTTCTCTTAAGACATCGAACTACGAATATAAAGGTTTTACCTCACCATTGGAACATGGGTTGCCGTTAGGCTCCGTTTGAGGAAGTTCTGGCGACGGGAATGAACGGTATAAATAAGGTGGGTGCCAACTGGCAAACAATTTTATTTTCCATTTACTCTCTAGCTTAATACAGCTTTTCTTTTTGTTAAAGTCAAGGGCTTCTCCATTCGCACCGTAAGAAATATGGATCATATAGCCATACAATATCTCTCTTTTAAGCTACCAGCAAATCTGGATCACATAGCAAACTTTAACATCACCATCTCATGAACTCAAAATGACTAGTGTAGTATCTTGAATATATTTGTTGTTCTATATATGAAGTATGAGTTCTTTTCTTACTATATTGTCGCAGATAATGTTGGCATCCTTCAATCCTTATTATCATCCTATTGAAGCTTTCAGCTTTGTTTTACGTTATGAAAAGGATGACAAATCTATTCTCCACAAAGTTGTGTACTTATCGTTATGATGACTTGATGAGATAGCGTATTATCAGCTTTAAAAAAATCAGTAGTGGCAGATTGCTAGTATCAATTTTTTAATTGAATAAGACTGATTTTTTTTATCCATATATAGTGCAACCTGTATAATTGATTGTTTAACCTTGTTCAGATTAAAATCACATTGATGTAGCAGTCAGTATTCATGTAAGATCATCATACCCAACTAAATTTACTGACAGAAAACGGAAACAGTCCAGAGCTGCAGATATGGTGGTCTGCTATCTATATATTAGGAAATTCACATAGAAAATCAGAGTCTGGGATTCCATGATATTTGTTTATGGCTTAATTAGGCAACAAAGTTGATATGGTTCTCACTTCATTTCACCAGGTTAATCCAAGTTGCGCAAAGCTTAACTAATTGTACTAAAGTCAAATTTCATACATTTTGACCGACAATTTCAAATTTATACAAAGCAATTCACATTCTGCACATCTTTCAATAAAATTGATTTTCCAGGAATTGATGGTTTCTTGGAAGGGTAATTAATCGTCAAAGACTTCCTCAAATCCTAATACATCTTGTAAAAAGAAATGGAGGGAATATGATATGACTAACTATAAACTATGCACCACAATTGAGTGGTGACCTTTAGTTGTCATTTTCTTGTAGGGGGCTGCTTCCTTCCCCACATGCATGATCAAACCAAATTAAACTAATTCATTGGCTCACAGTTGATTAGGAAGTGGAGGTTGTCTCAAATCATATACAGTCAAGTAGGATAGCTATTCTGAAAATGTATTACTAACACTGTAGGGGAAAGCCTTTATATTTGTACCGTAACTTCTATTGGTCATGCATACTTGTCACTCCCATAAATTATTATATGATCAGTTCGGTAACAATTTCAAGAGTAGCTTTCGCGATTGTGGCAAGAAAGTTTGCAAGATGGATAACGTCAGTATTCAGATGTGGGATCATCAGGGCTAGTAAATGAAGAAAAACATAGAGACGGACTGGCTGTCTGCATAGAAGAGACTGAAGCATGTGCCGCTGTAATAACGTCTACGGACTTCCAAAGCATGTGCCGCTGTGCGCTGTCTTAACAAAGGTGACTGGGTAGCAGTACTTCTTCAGTCATGTTTCAATTTCATATTGGGAAGAGATCAGTTTCACATACCTATTTGCCAATTACTTCCTGTTACATTGGACTCTGTATTTTAAGGATCCGTAAACTTCATTGTCAGCTTGCAGTCTGCCTGGGAAATGGAAACAATCCGCACTAGTAATTGAGTTCGATGATTTCTTTGTTGGAGCTGCTTCCTCACGTACACACGTGGGTCTCTTCCACGGTGGTTCATGCTGCACAAAGCCACAAACCAGTACATCGGGGACACACTGAGACTTAGTTTTATAACCACCTTTTTGGAGTTTCAAGAGCTGAAATGGAACTTCTTCCAAGTAGAACAACAGCATTACTCTTTCTTCCAAGCAGATCAAGAGCCTTACTTTGATATCCAGATTAAAGATGTCCAGTTCTGAAGTTCAAGGATTAAGATTATATGTCCAGGTCAGTCCAGTTCTGGAGTTCAAGGACTGAAATGGGACCTCTTGTTGCATCCCCATGCCAGGTACATAGAGAATTTAAACTAAAATAGCATGCAGATTCAGGTATGAGACAGAAAGGAGAGCACCAGCTAACTCCCTGATCATGGATATCGAACTCCCACTAAACTATTGCAGTTTCAATCCACAATCTCTTTCCGGCGACTTGCTCCCTTCCTTGCTAAACAAATCAAACTAAACACCAAAACATACTGTATCTAATAATAAGCCACATATGCTCGTCGTACAATCAATTATCTCCTCCACCTCCTTTTTTCCGTAGAATCGCCTCCTTACTTGTACACATAAAACCAGGATAAAGGAGCATATTGCGGACAACACCAGAATTGACAACTGCAATTGTAAGAAGCGGAGTTAGCATCAGTGGCACAGTCAAACTACACAGACCCAAGCTACGAAAGTAATTCATTACATACCCTTATCCAAGAAAACATTGGAGAAATCACAATTCGACCCAAAGCTTTCATAAGGAGTCGTCAAGAAATTCTTTGTCTGTGAATCAAAGGTAGGGTTCTGAATGCGTGCATTAACAAAGAGCCACAGATGCCTCTTCACATCATGCACTTCTGCATGAATATTCTTGCTTTTCTTGTCATTCACAACATGCGCCACGTGGGTGGCAATCTTGTTTGCCACATAATCAACATGAGACCCACCCCTTGTGGTTGCAATTCCATTCACAAAGCTGACCTGAAACACAAAAAAACATGCAAGATGCAACTGTAACCACGTCACGAGAAGGAGCCTGGCAGAAACATAACGATGTTCAAACTGGCCTTCACTTAGACTCAGACACACCTCCCACTGATCATTCAGCTTCTCGCAAATCCTGAAAACAGAAGGTGAGAATAATGAGAAACATTATTGTAAGCTTTTTTGTGGACATCAGTAAAACTGCTCTTATCTGAAATAATCAAAGAAACCTTGGGAGTTCGACAAGTCTCTTCTTAGAAGCTGACATGATGTGCCAATCGACATAATATGAGAAGTTCTTAACAAGCACCCTTTGGCCATCAAACATAACATTCACGGATTCTCCAAGAGTTGCAGCTACATCGATCACTCTCTTTTTCATGAGGGCTACGACATCTTCTTCAAGATGAGTTAGGTTGAACTTGGCAAGATCAGGCTTGAAGGTAATTCTGGTCCAGTTTTCTCCCTGCTCACAGTCGGTGATCTCAGGCTCCAACTTATTCACCATGTTGTCTGAGAAAACCTGCAAATATATATATATATATATATATATATATATATATACAAAAAAACATCAGGTTCTAACAACAGAAGACCGTCCATCAATCCCCATGCTAATGGTCAGCCAGTCAGGTTCAGATCACACATGAATTAGATATACTAGAATGAAAGCCCACGCATTGCCACGGGAAGCCGTAAAGAATGAACACAGTATAACTTCATGCATTCGACTGAGCACTCATCAAAATTCTATTGCTAACTTTCCCGAATCGATGGATTGCAGAACGGAAAACAGGACGTGGGGCACAAGTTTTAAAAGTACAGTAAAAGGGGAACCTCTTTCGTATTGTTGCAACACGTACCGAGTATTTTTGAAACCTTTTTATTTTGAACGAATTCATCAGGCATGTCAAACTGTCAACTACTTAACGCAACAAAAAACCGACAGGTTAGATTAATCGGGACCCGATCCGACAGCTAACTAGATATCTGCCAACGATGATCACCAGTCATCTGCCATGCTCGATCAACACCCATTTCTCCAATAATCTGCAGCTGGAGTGTAGTCATGGTGATTTTTGTTTCACTGAAACTGCACCTAGATCGGCTCACAATTTGATCTGAATCGAATCATACGATCTGGACATGTTGGTGGTCTGTGGCCTAGAGTGGCAGTTGGCACAGCGGCACATGGGACATCAAGGACGAAAAAATGATGGAAGGAATTATCCTTGCTTTAGAGATGTAAGAGATGTATCAATAGTATACAGCACGCGCCAATGTGACAAACAATTATATCCAGCACTATCTCAGACTCGTAAAACTTTGTTGCAACTTTTATAGCTACCCCCAGCACTGTAACTCAGAAAAATCTGTGCAACTTAATTACCATAACAAGGCACATCAAAAAAATATTGACTCCAACGCGAAAAAATTTAAATCTCTTATCCATCTTTCCAAGTTAAAAATCTCGGATTTAGAAGGCCCTTTTCCAGATTAAAAATCTCCAACCTTTGCCCTTAGGTGTGCACAGTGTGTTTGGTTGAAAGAATTATTAGAAGAGGAGGTGGGTTTAAAATTCTTTCAATTGATCCGTGGGCATCAGAATTTTGTTCAGTTCACACCATTATAAACCCAGTGGGAAGGGTGGAATTGGATGACATTTCTACTTAGTTGCCAACACATGCCAAACAAAAGATTGCCACTAAAAATCAAACTCCCATGCTAATTACCGGGTTTAACAAGCCTCCATTCCCATGCAAAAAATCAAAATCCCCTCCATTCCTCTTCAATACTCACTAAACTTAAGTACCTAACAAGCCTGACATTAACTCCTACCTCTAATTCCCATGCCCCTTAACAACATTTGTGATTTGTCAAATGCGCCGTTAAGGGAAAGCCAAAATATCTCTAATAGCCCACCTTGAAACGGCAACCCCAAAATTAAAGTGACTATGATCAGAATGCTTAAGCGACTTGCAAAATATCTCACCTGCCTGTACTTCTTTAAGCGGTGCCCGTCGGCTGTCTCAACGATCAACTCCGTGGAGAAGACGTTCGTAAGCTTGACGCCGTAGTCTTCCCTCCTGCCGCCGGTCTTCTTCAGATTGTCCTCGAAGTTGGTGCCGGTGAGGTGGCCAAACATCAACTCCGGAACGTAGACGCCCTCCTCCTGGTGGAATTCAACGGGGATGCCTTTGCCTTTTTTGTAGACGGAGATCTGGCACTTGACGACGTCGATCTCGACGAGAAGCACGTCCATCGAGGGGTCCCGCTGCTTGTTTTCGGCGGCGTTCACGAGGATCTCGTCGAAGATCTTTTTGAGGCCAGGGACGTAAGTGACAGCGCGTCGCATCATGGCGAAGCTCTCGTACAACCAGAGCGTTTCGGTGCGCTTCACCGTCGAACCACGTACAGTCGTTTACAAGTCCAGCTTATCCGTGAACTAATAATATTTTTTTCTCACATCAAATCAACCAACAGTATTTTTAATCATGCGTTTATAAGCTAAATAAGCCCAAACGAACAGGACGTACCACCGCTGGAGGATGTGCTCTAGCAGTGGAGACTTCATGGTGGCGGCGGCCGTGGCTGCGCGGCAAGGCGTGGCAGAGGATGTGTGCGGGCGCTAGGGTTTGGATAGGGGTGAAAACAGATCTTATACGAACATCGCTGAAACCGTATTTGCATCTTTATATTTAGATTCAGATTCGGACATGGATAGCTATTGGATACATACATGAATACAGATTGTCTTGGTTACGGATACGAATAATGAGTATCAAATACGATTGATTCGGATAATATCGGAAACAAATATCTATTTGGATATGATAATGATATGGCACGGCTATCAATCCGTTACCCGCGCCCGGACGCGGCTCCCATACGTACGTAGGACTAGGCTCAATTTCCTCCATATCTATATCTATATTTATACATATCTAATAATAAAAAGACAAAATTTCAAGCCTTTTTTTCGTCCAGCCCATTCAATTCGGTCCAACTGTCTGGTCCACTTTCTCGCGTTCGGCCCACTCCAGCTTCACGCCACGCGGCCCACTCTAGCTTCACCTCAGGTGGTCACCTGACTCACGTCGAAAAAAGCGCAAATTATTTCCTTGGCCCTAAAAATAGTGCCTCTTAGTTTCTTGACCTTTTTTTGTCGAATTTGGTTATTTGGCCCTAAAACGAGTTTTGTTTGGTTTTTTTTGGCCCTTTCGTCAAGTCCGTCTACATCTACCGTGAAAGAGCCCTTTGGAGCGGTGCCAGAAGACTGAAATGCCCCTGCTTTAGGTAACAAACCGAGTTTTTTGAGAAGCCAAAAATACGAACTTTTTAAAAATTTTCCTACAATATGTGAAGCATGTAGATGCTAGGTCAAACAAAGAACAATTTATAAATAAATTGTTGCATACATATAGTGATGCTTGTAGGAGCTTGCCAGAGTTCCTTATTTGGTTTAGGGTTTTGTGTTGGAGAGCACAAGTCCGTAGCGAATCCTTTTGACTCCTTCTGAAATCTCTCATGAACCATTGACCTAATTTCTATAATCAACCAACTATCTTTATCAACTCAATGCTTGTGGATTACCAACCCTTGACATGGACCCCACTACCCCTAGTTGACCTCTAGTGGACCCCACTAGGAGGTGTACAAGTTGGTGACACCTGTATACAATATAGGAGCCTTGGTTTATTTAGAAAATAGGAAAGCCAATTTGGCCCAAGCACATGACCAAACAGCCCAAGGCGCCAGCAGGCCCAGCCAGCCTCTCCCACTCGAAGCCGTGGCCCAGCCTGCCCCGCTAGCCTGCTCGCCCTTCTCTCCCTCGGCCCAGCTCGCCACTCCTCCCTTCTGGCCCACTCGCGCGCACGTGGCCTGCTTGGCCCAACCGGCGTAGCAGCCCGGCCTGCCCCTCTCTCCTCCCTTCGGCCCGCTCGCGCACGCACGGCCATGCGACCCAACAAGATCGACCCAGCTGCCCCCTTGCGGCCGCCCTTCTCACCCCCCTCTCCTTGCCCAGCCGGCCCAAGGCGCGCCGCACGCCCTTCCGGAACCCTAGGCAGAGCGCGCCGCGACCCCGCTCCCACGCCGCCGCCACTCGCCCGCTGCGGGCTTGCATACGCGCAACGCCAAGCCCCGCGCCCTCGGCTCACTCCGCACCCTCGCTCGATGCGCGCCGCGTGCCCCTTCTCTGCATGGAAGCCGAGGATCGCCGTCCACAGTGCCTGGAGCCCTAGCCTCTCACCCTATAAAGCGCCGCAACCGGTCGCCCCTCTTCTTCTTCCTCCAAGCCGCCGCCGTATGCCACGGTCCCGCCACTGCCGGCCTCACGCTCGCCACGGCCGCTACCTCGAGCCCGTGTCCCCAGCCACAGATGCCAATCCCCTTTGCGCCACCTCTACCTCACCGTCTCTGTGCCTCCACCAGCTCGCCGTGCCTTGTCCTCGTCGGGCGCCAGGCCATCGAGCTGGAACTCCGTCGACTGCCATGGACGCGACCTCGAGACGATGGCTCCTGCGCTGCTCTGTTTCTTCCCCATAACACGATGTCGCGACGTAGGAGCCCCGCCTCGCCGTTAGGGTGGACCTCGTCAGCGACGCGCCAACGCCCCTACTTCAACCCGACCACACCGTCGGTGCCTCGCCGCGCCGCACCGCAGCCAGCCACGATGTTCGGAGCCCGCGTGCGCGTCGCGTGCGCCGAGGACAGCAACGCCGAGCTAGAACTATACCGCGCCAAGGACGCACCCCAGCGGCCATGAACATTGTGCCGTCCTTACCACGACGTGTCCGTGAGGACCACCGATGGAGCCGCGACCGCATCGAGCTTCGCCCCGTCCCCAAGCACCGCGTCCATGACGAACCGCCAAAGCCGCGTCCACGCCCAACGTCGTCCTCGCCGATTCGAGCGGCAACCACAACGCCTCGCCTCAGCATCCATGCTTCGTCGCCCTCTGCGCCTAGTCCACGTCCTCACCGAACGCCACGCTACGTCCACGCCCGAGGTAGCCCGCTGTTTTCACCACCTTGCTGAGCACCTCTTCATCCCCGTCGGGAGGCACACCCCTACGTGTGCTCCAAGCTTCCGGACAGCAGCAGCAGCCCTTCCTCGTTATACTTCATTGATGGACTACAACATCTTCCCGGTGTCGACCATCGTCATCTTCTGTGACCGGCCTTCGAGCCGTGTAACTCTATATGTGCGGAAGAAGCCGGCCCCTTGCGGCGTCTTTCGCGAACCATGGCCGAGCTCCGTCCAACAGCCGCCACCTCTTCGGCAATCTATATCCTTCCCACTTTTGTGAACGTGTGTCTATCTTTCATTCGCACATGACCATCATCTATGTATCATCTATCTATCCGTGATTAGTAAATGCCTGTGCCGACCATCGCCACCGGTCTACTCCTTTGTTTCTATTTCCCTTCATGACGATCTATCTATTACACGTGTCTATCTCTTGTACCTCGAATTCTTTTCCCAAGTGCTTCGATTAGGTGCTACATCTTCGTCGCCCTATCACCCGGATGAGCCAAAACCGTTGGACGACCACAGGTGCGACCAACTACAAGCTCCGCCAAGATCACGATGCCGAGCAACGCGGGCCATGTTCTTCCACTTCGACAAACCTCGGTGAGCCACCACCGTGCCCCTCTTTCCAACCCCGATTTTGCTTACCGGCCATGGCGTTCCAACCATGGAACGCGTAGACCGAGGCCACCTCTGGCCTTTTGACACACAAGCACACACACACGTGACTAACCCAAGCCAAATCGAACCATCAGAGTTCCAAGAACGTCGGTGTGGTTGCCGACCACCATTGAAACATTCTCTAAAGCCATGTCTCATCCACCATGAACCACGCCCGAATGAGTCAAGCCTTGATCATCGTCTCCGACATTGCGACGGAGCTCTACCGCTCCTAGACACGCCTGCACTCACTAGCACGAGACCGGACTTAGCCAAACGGATCCATGGTGTAGGAGACATCGGAAAGGACTTATCGCCTGTAAAACCCGTCGTGGCCAAGCCATGCCACGGCGAAGAGTTACCATGACCTCATCGTGAGCCCCGAAGCCATAATTGGACCACGTGGTATTGATCGCCGCATCATGGACTGCAGGATTCCCTTTTTGGTTGCCCTGACGGTTCCGTGGAACCCTGTGCCCGTGTTTCACCACTGTTCCGGCTACCTCGAGTTACGAGAACACGCCGTCGAGATCTACCGGGACCCACACTAAAGGCCTTTTGAAGTAGTCACATTGCACAACTCACGGACAAAGCCCTGGCATACAGCACATGACCTAGCACCGTGTCGTCGTTGTATTGAGTCCATTCCCGACATTCCAGACTGCCTCGTTAAACGAGGGCGAGCCGTTGAGAAACCGAGTGATCCCTAGCATCGTACCGATGACAAGTGGAGTCTTTCCGACGTTCCGGTCGCCTTGCCTTGCAAGTGCGTGCCGTTGAGGAGATATCATGACCCCGTCTGCTGCGAGCCGTAACCTCTGGACCATGAACCCTAGTCGTATGTCTTATCAAGACCATGGAAAGCCCCGTCTCGCATCTTTCCGTATACGCAAATCTACCTTGCTGGGCCCTATTCTTATGACCTATCTGTCCATGACTGTCTTACAGGATCTATCCATCACCCAACTATGGAATGTGCTACTCCACCATTTTTGTCGGGTTGTTTGGTCGTGTCTTATCGCTGTGTTGTTGCCTGTGTGCCGAGCTTTCGAGCCGGCTGAGGGATCGTACCTCATTCGGACGTTACGATCGCAGGATTTGTCTCGCCATGGCCGTGATGCCGAGTGTAACTCAACCCCTTGCTCTTTAGTCAACTTCATAATACTACGAGTGTTAACTCCTACCTTTGGCCCTAGGACATGATCGCGATGGATTCGATATCGATATCGATATCGATGCGGATATCACCCGCTCACATTGAGCCTTTCGTGACCTAGCCTATGGGAGATGACCTGGGAGATAACAATCATGGAACGATGGATGCCAACATGTGTTGGTATAGCTTGTGGCTGCGAGTCCGCCTCACCATGATCATGGGGCTATGCCTCTCTCTTTCATTTGCTTCTTCGTGCTCAAGCCCTTGTGTGTTTGTACACCGTTCGACCATCGTGTTTCTTCGATTCTCGCGGTGACCACCGCACCGTTATGAATCAGAGAGATGACTTAGTGCCAGTGCACCTAGGTCGGGTACCCTATGAGTGGTTTGCGCACTTGTATTCTTTAGTGAGTCGCTCCTTCCGATGCCCTGTCTTCTGTCGTGGCATGTGTGTTGGAAGGAGCAGACCTCCGTTCTTTGCTGTTATTGCCCTATTAGCCCGCTCTGTTCGATCCAGCCTCGTCCATGGTGATTGGATCAAAGACCGGACTATCTCTTTTTAGTTAGCGAAGCTATGGTCTAAGTCATACCTCGACCCCGTGTGTGTTGACCCGATCGACCGTCTAAAACCATCTTTCCTGAAGATGTGTTTGAGAACATGACATGGATGTGCCTAGCTAACCCCCACATCTTTTGCCATGTTGAGCGACCCTCTTCTAGGTTCCCAACGTTATTGTGTCATGTGGATCGAGGGGAACCGTTGATGTCCAATCTCTTTGCGCTACCGCTTTCTACCATAGCGGGCGAGCCGAAGTATGTTGGGGCCAAGTCACAATAGTGTTAATCGCTCTTGTATGCTACTCGTGTCCAATTGTGACTTGCGGGTTAAGGCTATAAGAGCCGAACCCCGTCGTTCTTCTTTCTTGGGGCCCGACTTCCAATCCCCATCAATTCAATGACACCGGATCGAAAGATCGTGAGCCGTGGTGTTGCTATGGACAAGCTTTGGCTTAAACTATCTATCTTAAAGCCATACTGGCTTGGCCATGACTTAAGCTTGTGCTTAGCAAACCACCACTTGTGATTCTTTGGCCCGAGGAAATCGGACAACCGCCGAGAGGGCTAAGCCGTGTATCTCTTATTGCCTCACTAGTGTTATTGGATTTTCCTACGTCTTGTCATCTTTTCGAGTGTTGAGTGCTCTCTTGCCTTGCGTGTCACTTCGTGGAGTAGCTGATGATCGGACCAAGAGAACATGGACGACGACAAGGACTGCGGAATGGAGTCAACGCAGGAGGAGGTGACCCCGCTAATGGAACACCAACAAATGGAGAATTGTACCTCTACATCGTAGGTGTCATGGCAGCACCCTCTTTTAGAGAATCCTATTAGACATTGCATAATATCTAGAACTGCTAGCGCTTTATAATTATTCCTTTGCTAGTACTTTGATGCATGCTACTACCTGAGCCATTATTATCCTGATGCAACCCACTCTACCACGTCACCCTGCCTTGCGTATTCGCTCGCTTATATATGCTTACTTGCCTGCTTGCTTGCATATTACACCACTATATTTATTATTAACTCCACTTCGCATTATATCGGGGATGTGATGCTGGTGGTGAACCCCTGGGAATGGTTTGGCTTGGGAAGCCAGACTTGGTGGTGTATGAGCGTGCTGTGTGTGTGCCTTGGGTGCATGGAGAGTGAGGGTTATGTCGACCGAGCTGGAATAACGACGAGCCTAGGGCGAGTCTTGCCATGTGGTGCTACCTGGGCACTTGGATATGGAATACCTATGGCGGGTAAATGGTAATTGGAGGTGGCCTTGGGTGTGAACCTATGATGGGAGGAGCCCAGGGTGGAGGTGCTGTGGTGGCACATAAAATGGAAACCTTGATGAAGACATTCTGGCTTGGTCAATCCCTAAGGACTTACTAGTACTCGGACTCACCGGGAATCCTTTACATCCCACTCGCCCTATATGGTGCGGGACGGTTGGATTACTTGGTAGAGCGATGCCACTACTGCTAGGCGAACATGTGCAAGGAGGTACGGGGCGCGTGGTTTCCCCACACCCTTCTGAGACTTCAGGAGGCCTTGTGGACCCGGCTTTTGACATCCGGAGGGCCCCGGCTCTGTCTACGACTCACAGTATCTGCCATCCTAGACTAGACTTGGGATGTTCCAGGGCTGAGAGGTAGGGTGGCATCGTTCTAGGCTAGCAAGCGATCGGAATTCTGCCTAGGAGATACATGGCTCCGAGGATGGCTAATCTTATGGGTATGTAAAACCTCTGCATAGTGTTTGGTTGATCGATCGATACATATGCCGCCTTGTTGGCTATGGACCTTTCCTGGGTTTCGCTTAAACTAGATAGGAGATGAGTCCTTCTTTCCTCTCTCCAGGGTTAGGGTATTTTTCGGTCGTGAGCCTTGGGGGCTGTGGGCCGTTGAGACAAGGCCGAGAGGGAGTTGGCCTATCGACCCGAGTGTGTGAGACGAGATATGGTGTGGTGGTGTGGAGATGATTTGGGATGGATGGGTTGGTGGATGGATGTGGATGTGTGTGGTTTAGGGAATGCGTTAAAACTTGATAATTATTATATTATTTATCTCTTCGCATGCGCTAAGGATGCAAACCACAGCCAAATTATAGGATCGCCAGATCCCTTGTTTTATCTTTTCCACTAAAGCTTATCGGTGCTGACCATGGCCTGCACACATCTGGCGGTGTGCAGATTTTCTGCTTCTCAGAGATGCTGACTTTAGAAGGATTAGGAGGTCTCGTGCCTACGCTCAAGTTTGGTTTGGAGATGGAATCTACGCTGCACTACGCCAACTCTGATGATGCCCGTGAAGGAGGAGCCTTCATTCGATAGTCTTCCGCTAGATTAACTCTGTAATAGGTGTGTTCCCCAGTGATGTAATATCTTGTATTCTTGTAATCTTACGATGTATGACTGTGACATCGACTGAAATATGATAATATGATGGAATAAGTTCTTGGTTTTATCATATTAAAATTCATTATGTGGATTTTCCCTTCAAGGAAAATTGAGGATGTTTCACTTTACCCGTTCGCTCGTTCACCTTCTATCCTGCTCGTCGCGTCGAAGCAGAGCCGGTCGAGCGGGGAAGGGCTGACACCGACGGCCAAACCCGAGATGGAGAAGGGCACCGCCATAGAGGAGGGCCAGCCACCGGATCCACCATGGCCGTGCCATACGACGGCGGCACGACTGGTCGCGGGCGTCCGAGCTGGTCGTGCAGGCATGGGCACCGGGTCGGGGCTGCCTGCTGACCGTGCAGGGTGCCGGGAGCGAGGGCACCATGAGCGTATCTGATCCAGGGCGCCATGAGCAGGGCCTGGCCGCCGGCCGCTCTGATCTGGGCGGCTCCTCAGGTGTGGTCGGTGTCGGAAGCCAGGAGTCCAGGGAAGGGACGGCTGCCGCTGCAGCCCAGACTTCGGAGGCAGCTGCTCACCAGACTTCGTAGGGGAACAACGGAGACGACGACCACAGTGACTTGGTCAGAGGGTGAGTCTTCCATCATCATTTTTATTTGCATCACCTACAAATTTGCATGGTTGTGAATATGGTGTATTCCTTGTGTTAACAGGTTTGATTCTAGTGTTAAGTTGGAAATCAAATTGTTGGGCAACAGTAAGACTCGTAGGAAGGATGTTAAATGTTTTAGCTTTGAGATGGTTGTGGATTCAGATAGAACAAATTTTAATGATTCTGTAGAATCAGTGGTAGAGAAATATCCTCCACGCTATATGGAAGTACCTCATATTCAGTACTATGATGAAGCTCTAAAATCCTTCCCTGAAATAAAATCCGACCAAGATTTGATGTGCATGTTTAGTAAGCACCGCAACAGCAAGGTTATCATCATGTTCATTGTATATCAAGGCCCTTCTGATCCATATGCGCCAGTCACAAAGTGGGATTTTAATGTTGATAGCCAACCCAAAAACAACATAGAGCTTGATGAGGATGATTACCTTAGAAACCCTGCACCACAGAATGAACATGTAGGTGTAGATGAAGAGGCAATGTACTTGGAGAATGTACCACAGAGTGCACTTCAGGTTGTGAATTATCCAATTGAAACTCAGAACAGAGATGATGAGTCTGAGGAGGATAGTGAGGATGAGGAAGATGATGAGGAAGGCGATGATGATGGTGATGATGAAGTACAGGATGAAGATGAGGTGCCATGTAATGATGGAAATAATGCTCCAAATGCAGAGTCTGACACAGATGATCCTTCAATGATAGTAGGCTCTACTTATTCTAGCATGGCTATTTCTCAGCATTCAATTAAAAATCAGTTTGAGTTCAATATTGCTAAAAGTGGACCTCAAAAGTTCAGGGCATATTGTTCAAGGAGAGACAAGGACAAGTGTCAATGGTGGTTGTATGCATCTACCACTAAGGGTAGTACCACTGTCACGGTAATTTCTGAACCTTACCTTTTTCTGTATCCCTTGGGTTGTTTTTTGGTTGCTAATTGCTTTTACGTTCCATTTTTATAGGTAAAAAACCTTTTCCTCACACTTGTTCTAGTTCTAGAAGGAACAAGAAGGTGAAGAATGCAACCAAGCACTGGATTTGTGAAAAGGTGAAGGACTTCCTCATAACCGATGCAACTTTGGGTGCAAAGAAATTAGTGAAGAAGCTAAAAGAGCACCATAAGGTACAAATCCCTTATCACAGATTTTATGATGGTAAGGAGCTAGCATTGAAACACCTTTATGGAGATTGGGACAGTTGTTTCGACAACCTTTATAGGTTCAAAGCACAAATTGAAAGTTGTTGCCCTGGTAGCTTAGTCATTATTGACCATCATACCATTAATGACAAGATCAGATTTAGAAGATTCTTCTTTGCATTGAAGCCTTGCATAGATGGGTTCCTTAATGGTTGCAGACCATACCTTGCAATAGATAGCACATTCTTGACTGGAAAGTACAAGGGGCAATTAGCTAGTGGTTCTATAATTGATGGTCATAATTGGTTGTATCATGTTTGCTGTGGAGTCTTCGATTCGAAAACTAATGAAAATTGGATTTGGTTTATGAGTCAGCTTAGAGAGGCTATTGGATCACCTACGAGCTTAGCCATATGCACTGATACAGGACAGGCTATGATGGCAGTGGTGGGTCAAGTGTTTCCAAGGGCTGAACATAGAGAATGTATGTTCCATTTTATGACCAATTTTAAGAAGAGGTACCATGGAAAGGTTTTTGATGACCACTTATGGGCAGCCACTTACTCATGGAACCTATATATGTTTGAAAAAAATTGGGTTGCCATGGAGAGAGAAAAGCGTGCTGTAGCTAACTATATAAGGAATTGCCACAAAAAATTGTGGACAAGAAGCCAATTCTCTACTAGAAGCAAGGTAGACTACGTGACCAACAACCTTACAGAATGCTTCAACAATTGGATAAAGCAACACAAGTCAATGAACTTGGATGATTTGATGGACAAGATTAGGCAAATGCTCATGAGCAAGTGGAACCAAAGAAGGAAAATCTCAAAAAAAATCATGGTTTGATTCTACCCCACTTAATAAAGGACTTGAATGAGAAGAGTAGAGAATTAAACTTGAAAGTGAAAGAATGTTCAGAAGATGTTGCTGAAGTGACCGCAATGGGAGGTACTGGATTTCGGTTTGTGGTCAACCTACAAGAGAGGACTTGCACATGTAGGAAATGACAGGTTTCGGGCATACCTTGCAAGCATGCATTAGCATTCATCACATCGCTTAGTGATGAACCAATTGAGAAATATGTTGGCTTGTATTACTCAGTTGAGAAATTTGGAGTTGCATATAGTCAGCTTATTCCTGCTATGCATGACAAGTCACAATGACCGAAATCCAACCATGGATTTTTCATGCATTCGCCCTTATTGACAACAGTAGCAGGTAGGCCTAAAACTGAAAGGCATAAAGGCAATGGTGATAAGAAAAAAAGAAAAGGGCAACACAAGTGCCCTATTTGTGAGGGCTATGGACATCGTTGGCATAACTGCAAGAAGGGCAAACCAGAACATATTGAAGCTATGAAAGCAATCAGGTAATAATGTGTCTACTTTTACTATCATTTATGTTTTTCCTTCCTACAAAACATAGTGATGACATGTGTTGTTCTTGTAGGGGACCACCAAAGAAGATGGCTAAATCTGCTCTAAGTTCTATTGTTCCTTTGGAGGACGATGCACCGGCTGCATCCATATCTTTTCCACCAAGGTTGGTAAATTATTACTTCCTCTAGTTGTTATTTCAAACTTATCATCAATACTAAATATTGACTTTGCCCCTCTAGTCAAAACTTGGAAACAACAACTAGCAAAAAAAGAACTAGCGATGATCGTACTCTTGAAGCATCTAGAAGATAATTGACACTAGTGCTCAAATTTTGTGTTAGTAGTAACGACAATTTGGTAACGAAACTAAATAGATGCTCTCTATCATAACAGCCAAAGCTTGGAGATTTCAAGACTATGGGAAAACTAAATAAATCTAGCTCTGGACTATCAAAAAGGTATTTTTCTACTTCTGATTTTTTTTCCATTGGACTATTGAACTATCATCATTTGCTACTGAAAATAAATGTTTATAGGTTAAGAAGTGGTTCAAATCAGCCGGAAGCACTTTCCATCGAGCATCCCTCACACATAGAACCACCTGTCAAGACCAAGGGTAACAAGAAGGTTAAACCCACAAAGAAGAAGCAAGGGCTAGGTAGTAAGAATGCTAGAACTACAAATGTGCCACTTGACGGACCCTCTATGGGTACTAGAAGCAAAAAAACACAACCACCTAGCCCTACAATGAGCACAAGAAGTAAAAGAAGGCTTAGTCTTTGATTTTAGATATGCTTGTTCTCATATTTGATGCCATGTGATCTTGAACATGTTCTATACGAAGGCTTATTTGTGAACTTGAACATCTTTTGTATGATGCTATCATGTGAACTTGTTCATGTATGATGCTGTCATGTGAACTTGAACATCTTCTGTATTTGTCAACTTATTATTGCGTATGTGTGCACTTGAATTATAATTGTGGATTTTATATGCATCATAAATAGTTAGTGTGGGTCATGTGAAAATATATATAAAAAATAGTGATTCCATGCTTCAAAAAATTATTGTACATCATTTTGGGAAATTATTAATTCTAAGCAATCTGAAAAACACGTACAGTGCATCTATAGGCTGCTGATCTTTTTCATTCGGCGTCAGGGGCAAAATAGTCTTTTCGCTTACAACTTAACCCCGTTACCTTATCAAACTTACGAAAGGGCCAAGAAACCAAACAAAACTCGATTCTAGGCCAAATAAGCAAGTTCGACCAAAAAAGGACCAAGAAACTAAGAGCCACTTTTTTAGGGCCAAGGAAATAATTTGCTCTACCAGCTATGACAGAATCGTCTAATTTATACAAGATCAAGTATGGCTGCCCCTGCTAACATGTTGGCGCGCACACACCTTCACTTATATAAATTCGATAGTCCACCGAATGTCACGAAGGACCTCGGTAGATCCACATCACAACCAAGATCGTAATAGATTAAGCAAATACACATCACATGTATGGAATTTACAGCGAAAATAATATTACATTTAGTTCACAAATAAATAATACAATACCAAGTTCAAAACTGATTAGTGAAAGCAACATAGCTTTGAAATAATTCTAATAACATGAGTTCCAAATACATTGGTTGCATAAGTGACGTCCTCCAACAAAAGCATATGGATGAGAAATGAATACAGAGTAACCGAGCCCATCGGCACTTAGCCACCGTCATTAACAGGGCGAGAACTTCACCTGCAACAGGATGTGATAAAACCCTGAGTACTAGAATGTACTTAGCTAGACTTATCCGACAGAAGAGAAATAAAAAGACTTTCAAGGATATGCAAGGCTTATTTGGTGAAGCTAGTTGGACAACATAAATTTGCAAAAGAGCATTACTATCATAAGTCCTTATTTTCAATATTTTAGTCAATATTTTAGCATCAAGTTTAGTGAAACTATTTAAGGCTAAGTTTGCACCTGTACTATAGCAATTACTTGATTAATAAGCATCACAATAGTAACCATATCCAGTTTATCATATAATCCGCATAACCATCATGTTCCATCAAGTGTTACTACGAATGCTGGAGCTAGTCGAGTTTCTCACTATTCGGGAGAGACGACGATTCTAATCGAGTGTAACCAGCTGGGCCAAACCCAAATCACACACCCGTACTTCCTCCGTCGGGGTCGCATTGGATGACCTTTTGCTCAAATTCAGGATCCAGCGGGACTGAACTGGCCGCACCACCTACGGGACAGCCGGAAGCCAGGTCGCTCAGGCCCTGCCTGCCCACGGTCAATCCCTGCCCTGCTGCACATCCTTACTCTCGTCCAATGATGCCCATTCTTAGTTCAAAACCCGGCCCGAATTCAAGGTACTTGGCTTCACAGTCGAAATGAGTTATCCGGCCGTTATGTGAAAGGTATGATCAATCTCGACAGAAGGTCCAACAACGGTACGGTCCTTAACCGACACATACAGGATCAACATAGCCAAATCTATCACCATTTGCATATAAGATCTCGCTCGGTCTCTATTTATATAACATCACATGGTTATTTTCACGATAGCAAATATAGCCAACCGTGACCGAATATCCACCTATATCTCGCAGGTTACAGAAAATCACCCGACTTCTACCGGTCTAAGTATGGCTAAGCATAAATCGACCTACTCATACTAGTAAGGGTCCAGGTATGTATATCTAGTGGACAAGGTAAGTCATGCAACAACGGTTTTATCCAACTCCTATAACTTAATGCTCAATACATAAAAGATAGACTCGAGTGCATTTGTAAAAAAAAGAGGGTAGGAGGCTTAAAATGTTTCGGAGCTTGTTTGAGATCCAACACTAGGTCAGTGTTTGATAGATGACATTTGCTTTGGCGAGCCTCTCCTATCTAGCACTTGTTTAGTTATTTCATCTTCGGGATAGATCACCAAACACCATCTTCGAGTTCAACACCAACATCATATCCTTTCCGTCCTTCACGTGGTTCATCTAGCGTACCTAGATGAGATACACAATGCAGATATAGGAATACAAGAATGGCAACATGAGATACATCATATAAAAGCATTCAAGACAAGCACAATATTACATAAGAAGGTATAAACACCTAGAATTATTTAATTAAACATCACATAATCTATTATTGAGAGATATAAGTGATCAAGCATGGCACATAAGTCTAGCTTAAGTTTCAGCTATTACGAGCATTCATAAGTCAAGAATTAACCTTCGTCTCCCCACGCCGCCGCTCCTCCGTCCGCGCGTGCGCAGCGCCGTCGTTCTTCCCGTCCGCTCGCTGCGCCGCCGCTTCTCCCGTCTCGCGCCGCCGTTCTTCCCGTCTGCGTGCAGCCCCGCTGCTTTTCCTGTCTCGCGTGAAGTGCCGGCACAAAGATGGAGCAGTCAGCACCGCCTCCTCCCAAGACAAGTTGGAATCGGAATCGAAACGAAGAACCATCTAGGATCAGAAAATTCCATGGTATTTTTCGGAACAAACTCCTTTTGTCGTCATGGCCATGGCCGTGGCCGTCTCGGATCAGAAAATTATGTGGTATTTTTCGGCACCAACTCCTTTTCTTTTCTTGAAGCTAAAATTGATAGTTGTCAATCAAGCTCCTGATTTCACAGAAGCCGTCGTTACGCCGATAGTCTCCACCGGGAGAACCGAGGCGTGCTGGCTACCATCGACGCGTGCTGCCACGGAAGGCGAACGGCAAGAAGTCAGACGGGTTGCTGGTCCGCAGCGCAAGGTACCCTTCGAAGGACCGATCTGCCCTGTTCTCGCCAACCTGCAGACAATCTTCCTCAGCACCAAGCTCATCGTACTCTTCTCCGTCGTGCCCCTCGGCCCAATGCGTGCACATAGGCCAGGTACATACCCGTGCACCCCCCACAGACCTCGGTTGTTGCGATCCATGTGAGGGCAAAAATCTCTAATTTTCAGTTTTCACCATATTGAAGAATAAAGTGCATTTGTTTAGAGACTCTTGCCTGTTTGATGTTGTCGGGAGATTGATGGTGTTGGTAGAGCAGCGCTGAGTTCTTATTATTGTTGAAGGGGCTATATGCTGCTTGTCAACAGTGGGTAGGAGAAACATGTTTGCGTATGACTTTGAGTAGCAGTGATTTTTCTGATTGCATACAAGAGTAGTACCGGGAAGAAATTTTCTGATTGCATACAAGAGTAGTACAGGGAAGAAATATCCTCACAAGCTGATGCTTGTCCTGACCCTTTTCAGAACATTTTTTATTTTGGTTGATTGATTTGGTTGCTGACTATATGCCATGACAATCGATTACGTTGCGAAGGAGCTAGCATTTTACTATTTGAGTTATGTTGCATGGATCTGTGGTAGTTGCACTTGAGTTATGTTTGTTGATTTTATTTATTTATTTATTTTTTTTTTTTTGCTGTTTTTACAGAAAATGGATCATACCATTGAATCAAGCACTTTTGTGGATTTTGATGATGGGCCCTTAAAGGAATCAAAATGTTATGAACTGGATTTGTTGGAATCAGGTATAATGGTAGATGTTGATGCAATTCCTTCAGCTACATCACCAACCATAGAGACATTATCTTTAGTTTCTGAATTGGTAGATAAGCAGATGAGTGAAGAAAATGTTTCAGAGATATTATCTTCAGTCTCTGAATCGGTAGATAAGCAGATGAGTGAATAAAAGCTTTTATCGAATGATGATAAACAACTAGAAAAACGTAAACAGACCAATGTTAGTGAAACGTATGACTATCTCCCACAAGGTTCTTTTTCATTTATGTGTACTTTTGCATGTAGTCTTTTCACTGTAATACCAATGATATAAAGCTAATCTGTATTGAATTTTATGCAGATTATGCATTGACCAATATGGACTTATGTGCTCCAATAATAATAGAAACATCTTTGGAAAACGATTTACTGGTGAAGATGGATGAAATATCTGTCAAACAACATCGATTATTGTGCCTCCTAGACCAAAGTAAATGGTTAAACGATGATGTAAGTATACCTTATTAGAAGGGAAATATTTTCTCATTCTTAGTATTTATTTTTAATGTATTTTTTCTTGGTTTAGCAGTTCCTATTCTCATGCTTCCTGATGTGCCAAATTAATTTTGTTATGTGCAGTGGTTTTGCATTTTGCAGTTTCTTTACCATTCCATTCCAAACGTTGAGATCCAAGATCACTCATAAGTGTTTTATGCCATTGTATGCAGTTGACTATTAGCCTTGTAGGCATAAACAAGATTATTTCCTTTGATAATGTTAGTTAAATTTCTTTTGCCTGGATTTGGTACCTTGCCTGGGATTGAAGCCCGGGAAGGCGATCTGGTGTAGTTCAACTAAGCCTGCCACCGCGCAAACGGTTATTTCGTCCATAGGTGGGGGGAATTATAATGCCAGTGTTTAGTGCATACACTGAAAACATGTTACGGTTTCAGATTGATTCCAGTTTGGGCCAGTGACCCGGTTACAAGCTTCACTCTTGAATTGTTTTCCACGTTATTCTGGAGTGTAGATATCATCTAGGTGCACTCTGCTAATTACTCAAGGCTCCAAATTAATCTCCTTTGGCACAGAATACATCTATATGCTCTTGAATTATGTGTCTTAGATTTTGACAGTGCAATGTGGTCATATTTCAGAATATGCCGAGAACACATGCCATTCACAGCGGATGCAGATAATTTACTCAATACTTGTATCTGCAGGCACAGTTTGGGATAGATACATGATGGTGACCACTTGGTCAGCCATTGGTGGAAGCTGCCGGTGGGAGAAGACATGGCGATGGTCGTCCTAGCTTATTCCTGCTATTGGTAATTTCCTAAGGCCGTGTTTAGTTGGAGGCCGGATTCGGCGCCGCCGGATTCGGCAGCACTGTTCAAACACTGTAGCATTTTGTTTTTATTTGGTAATAATTGTTCAATCGTTGACTAATTAGGCTCAAAACGTTCATCTCGCAAAGTACAACCAAACTATGCAATTAGTTTTTAATTTCGTTAACATTTAGTACTCCATACATGTACCGCAAGTTTGATGTGATGGGAAATCTTCTTTTTGCATAGTGCCGAATTCAGGAAATCTGGGGAACTAAACATGGCCTAAACAGTTTCCAGTAAGAAACAAAAATAATTAATATGCCTATGTTGTGGAGTCTCAGCCTACTAAATATTGTGTTCTTGTAGTCCTACAGATGCAGCAATCAGCAGTGTGGATTTAGCCAAAATAATGGTTTGTGGCCGCGGCTGCATGGGTAGGATACTAGATACCTAGAGTACTTTTGTTGCACTCGCATATGCTGCGTCGAAGTTAGCAAGTTATGTATTGGTGAATTAATTTTTCAGGCTTAGAGGATATGTGAATCAATCAAGTGATGTCCAGCCGTTGCAATAGCCCCAAAATAGATGTTCCATACATAAATTACTCAGCGAGACAAATATACAAAATGTCATGTTGTCTAAGCCATTCGTTGTTTTAGTTAATAGTAATCTAAGACAGTTGTTGTTTAAGTGAAATAATCTGAACCACTATCTCTCAGTTACAATTTAATTATATTCAGAGTTCATTTCAGGTAAGTTTCATATGGAAATTAAATAGTCTGAACAACCATCTCTGTTTCAGTATAACTTCTGTAAGAGTTTGTGAGGAAACATGTATTATTTTACATGTCAATTGGACTCATGCGAAGAAATTTCATAACATCAGCCATACATGTCAATATCAAAATTAATGTGTAATTTACCTATGAGAGGAGTGAGGCCCCAGAGCCATGCTCAAGGTACTCGGGGGTAGAAGGTATGCAGATCAATCGGCAGATGGCAGCGAGGTGACGGGCAGATAGGCAGAGCTTAGAAAAAGATGCAAATAGAGGATTATTATGTTTTGAGGAAAGAAATTGTCATAGGGTTAAGAACCGTGGTGTTGACATAAATTCGACTTACATATATTTGACCAAATTAAAATCTGTCAGCATGACATTTTCTATGTTTATTTTATTTCACTGAGACATTTATTGCTATGAAATCATCTATTCGAGACATGTTGCAAAGCACGAGCATTTTGCTACAACAACAACAAAGCCTTTAAGTCCCAAACAAGTTGGGGTAGGCTAGAGTTGAAACCCAGCAGCTGTCTTCCAAGCACTCCTATCTAAGGCTAAGTCTTTGGGTATATTCTATCCTTTCAAGTCTCCTTTTATTGTCTCTACCTAAGTCAATTTCGGTCTTCCTCTGCCTCTCTTCACGTTATTATCCTGGCTTAGGATTCTACTACGCACCGGTGCCTCTAGAGGTCTCTGTTGGACATGTCCAAACCATCTAACCGGTGTTGCACAAGCTTTTCTTCAATTGGTGCTACCCCTAATCTATCACGTATATCATCGTTTTGAACTCGATCCCTTCTTGTATGACCGTAAATCCAACGCAACATACGCATTTCTGCGACATTTATCTGTTGAACATGTCGTCTTTTCGTAGGCCAACATTCTGCACCATACAACATAGCAGACCTAATCGTCGTCCTATAAAACTTGCCTTTTAGCTTCTGTGGTACCCTTTTGTCACATAGGACACCAGATGCTTGGCGCCACTTCATCCACCCTACTTTGATTCTATGGCTAACATCTTCATCAATATCCCCGTCTCTCTGTAGCACTAATCCTAAATATCGAAAGGTATCCTTCCTAGACACTACTTGACATTCTAAACTAATATCTTCCTCCTCCCGAGTAGTAGTGCCGAAGTCACATCTCATATACTCAGTTTTAGTTTTACTAAGTCTAAAATCTTTGGACTCCAAAGTCTCCCGCCATAATGTGGCAGAACCTCCTAAGAAATCAGGCCCACGTGCATCTATCGATGTCTCAACAGACCTCAGATAACGTATACCAGTTCCCAACAACTTAACAGGTCTGTCGGGTGTCCTTGAGAAACCCGAATCATCCACGAATCTTTTACAAACAGGATCCCAATCACAATCATTGCAGATTACAAAAGTTTTCAATATACATACCAGAGATTATAAAGCGGAAGACTTAAGTTTTAGTATTACAAACCAGTTGTTTCAAACTTATAAAACCATAAGTGTCATACAACCATAGTAGCGGGATAATATTACATTAACATTATTTATTTCACACAAACTAGTGCCTTGTCCAAAGGCTATTCATCATTCCTCATCGTCATCGACTTCAAACACTGACATGCAGCAGGGACCAAAACAAGCATGCGCATGCGACTCACCTGCAACAAGGGTTAACAAACCCTGAGTACAAAAGTACTCAACAAGACTGACCCGACGAAAAAGGGGTGAAGGACTTTAGAGTTGCAGGTGTTGGGTCAAGGTAAGGATGTAGCAAGATTCAAAAGTTCTTTGCCAAAAGCTTACTATTCTTGATCCTATTTTGAGTTTTACCCCTAAGTACTTTAGTTCATTATCTCAAACTAAGTATTCATATCCCATATTCCAATCTTTCTCATTTCATTCTTTTTCTCATGTTTTAGTAATTCACCAGTCCTGCATTGCTTCTGTAATGAATCGAGTCTCCATATCCGTGGAGCACCGGCAATTCGAATTGATTCAAGTCCTAGCTGGGGATTCCTTATCACACGACATATGTAGAACTTAATCTTGCATATATCAACCTTACTACCGGATCCTCCTATACTAAGCCATCTCCACGCCACCCGAGAGCACAACACGCCTCAAATCCGGCCACATTCAAGCCACGAGGGTACACGCTACTCCCGCCATCTCACCACTCCCAGTGCGTGGGCATTCGTCTTAGTATCGGATTAGCCGAAGTAGGCTTATCGGAGTATGTGACCAGTACTACAAAGTGTCTCGTTTAGAAGATCCACAATGAGTGGCCTTTAAGCGACATAGTCGGCAACATTACCCAACATTCAAGATAAGTCACCCGACTAGTCTCTAGTTCATTCTATCTTATTTCTTTCTTTGGCCAGTATGCCATCTTTGATTGTATCGAAACTTTTACTTTGAACACCCACCATAAAGCATACTAAGCAATTCTACGCCTTTGTAAATGAAAACATCTTCAAGGATGATAAACAATTAACAAGGTAGACAATGCATCAAGTAGGTAACATTTGAATTAATTAACTTAATGCAATAAGTAACATAGGTGATAAACTTTTTAAAGTAAACAAGGTAATGGTTTAATGCATAAACCGGGGCTTGCCTTCGTTGACGATCTCGGGTTCCGGATCAATACCACAAATATCAAATCCCGAGACAACCGGGGATTCTTCCACAACTTGCTCAACTAGAATTGGTTGACTCTCGGATTCTACACGAAATAATAACATATGCTTCAACATGATGATAATGTAAACATGATGCTTTCATGATACATGAAATATAACAACACCTTGAATACAACTTTCCTTCACAGTATAGTTGCAACTCAACAAAACTAATTGACATTAACATCTAGGGTTTATGACCTAAGTGACTTGACCAAATTGATCTTGAAACCCTACTGGTCACAAAACATGACCCAAACAAGATCAAACTCTAAACCAACACTTAGGGTTTGCTTTTATCCATTTTTGAATTAATTTGAAATTAATCTCAAAAATGAACTTGTTCCAAATGACCTCAAAATTTTATGTAAGATTCTTAATGACAAATTAGTGTACCAAAATAAATTTTATAATTTTTAGAGTTATACAGTGACCTACAAAATTATGGAAATTGCATTTATCAAATAATTGACTGAATTTTTGAACATTAAAAATTTATTCAAATTTCAAGTTTCATATTTTTTCTAAATAGTATTCATCATAGAGAGATCACACAAAAAATTTCATAATTTTTGGAGCTCTAAACAAATCTACACAAAAATAACAAAAACAGATACTATTCATCCATTTCTGAAAATAGAAAAATTCAATTTGAACTATACAGTCGCTGACATACGGGACCCACTTGTCATCCCTAAGCTCCGGCTTTGACCGCGGCGACAACGGCGCTGACCGACGCGAACTCGCCGCCGGTGAGCCCAACAGCGACGGCCATAGCACCAAAACGTTCACAACGACTAGGCGCATCGATCTATGGCACTACAGAGATCGATTATGATACACGGAACAAGGCTAACGCCGGCCATGGCGGACGCGGTGGCACGGCATCGCTATGCCGGCGAAACAAAGCCATTAGAGATCAAACAAAAGGCTTAGAAAGGATCAGCAGCTCACCCCGAACGTGTTGAAGCAAAGAACGAGACCGGAGGAGCTATGGTGACGCGGGTCGACGGTGACAGCGGTCACGGCGGAGCAAACTTCATCGGCGACGGAGTTTCGGTGACTGCAGTGAGCAAAACGACCAAGCAAGAACGGATTAAGCATCACAGCGTCGAGACGAAGCTGTAGAGACCACAAGCAAGGGCAACAGCTCACCGGATGATGCTGGCCGCAGTGAAACGGAGCTTCGGTCGAGGTCGCTGGCCGCGAGGAAGAAGAGTCGCTAGCGGCGGTTCTCGGTGGACTCAGACAACCTCAGTTGGTGGGATGGGTTCGAAAGGAAGAGACGGAGTTGGAACACTGCTTTGCCGAAGCTGGTTTGGGCTGAGGAAGCGAGGGGAGCTCGCCGGAGTTGAGGCGGCGACGTCAAGAAACAGAGCAGAGGAAGAAAAGCAGATAACGTCGTCGGAGCTTTATAGCGCGGCCAGATGAGTGAGGGAACGACACGCAGTGAGGTGCTCGTGCCAGCGCGAAGCCGAGGGCGGCCACGGGCGCGCCTGGAAGGCCGGAGAAAGGACGCCGGCGGTGGGGCGGTGAC